ATAAATTTCTAAAAATTAATTTAATCAAGAAAAAAGGTTCCTTGTGAAACAATATATGTACACCAAAATTTAAAAAAAAAAATTAATCTAAAAAATAAATCAAATATTTATCTATATATTTTTCTTTTCAAACGAATAAAATATAACGATTAAAAGAAAATTAGATTGGGGTAAAAACCAAATATTTGAAAAAGGGTAAAAAAACTCCGCTGCCCGAGGATTCGATCTCGGATCTCTCTGATGCAGCGCCAATGCTCTGCCTACTTGACCACGCGACCTCTGTGCACAAATGATATATCCCACGCTAGCTTGAAAGTACACTCTGAGAGGAGCTTGGGGTCATACAAATCTTCGTCCTTGTCGAGTCCTAAAAACAGCCAAAAGCGAAAGTTACTCTTAGCAGTTTTATTTATTACTCGAATTCGAAGTGTGATATGTTGTTTAAAATTTATTTCTGATTACTTTGTAAGATAATAACACCATTTCTGGCCATTTATACAGAACTTCACCCCTCATAGAATTGAAAATTTCAGTAAGGGACGCATTTTTTCATTTTTTCCTTTGAAGCGTAACAATAACTTAATAAACAGAACAGTTAGAGCAACTTGAAATTTCCATGTCGACCGGTCTAAGTAAATGCCGATGTTCAGAGATAACTTATACGCCATGGCAAGCGATTAACTTAGGCAGATAGGCAAGTATCTGTCTAGTCAAGTACACAAATGAATTAGCAAAGCCCACATCGCTCCCAAGTCTACTTGACTACTTGTTTGGCAAAGTGCTTCAGAGCAAAGATTTTTGTTTCATTGCTCCGCTCTAGCTCATTTTATTTATTTATTTATTTATTTATGGGAACATTGGTTCCACATGTAAGAAAAAATTCTTTTAATAGTACATCAACTTAATCAAGTAAGATTATATTTTTGAAATAAATTAAAATTAAGTGAGCTTACGACTAAAAATAAGAATACTTTTATGTGACCTTTTTTTTAAATGATACAAAAAATTTAATATGAAGACTACCTGAGAAGAAAAATTAAAAGAACCGAGGAAAGAAAGAAAAATTGTTTATTATTTACTAGGGCTCGGAATCTCATGCACTCAAAATTCAAAAATATGCGCTACAAACAAGTAAAATATGCTATTTAAAATAGTTTTCTAATATTTTATTGCCGGTGCAAATATATATAACATATGGATTTTAACAAGAAAATTACGAAAACACTTCATTTCAAAGTACGACACATATTTACATATGTATAAAATTAGTTTATAATCAAGCAGACAGTTACAATATTGTGTAAATACAAAACAATGACAGTTAAGTAATGGTTCAGATGAATGCTTGGTTGGTTTCAGTGCTGACAAGCAGTTAGCAAGTTTGCCATTTTAATTCCAGAGCTCATATAACCTGCAGCCATTTGGCGGCTTTAATGAATTTCCGGACGTCATACAGAGAAAAGCAGCTGCACTCTAAAACATTTCGCAGGAATGGCTTTCCGATTGCCTTAAGCCTCATCCTTACGAGGGCTGGATACTCGCACAGGAAGTGTTCGATTGCCTTTTTTTGAGCCCGGGTCATCGCCTGTTGAAGGGCAATCGGATTGACTGAATGTACCCCAATGGGCCAGTTCCCTTTTGCACACTGCAGTAGGTAGGTATCTTCTTTGCTCATTCCTAATAGAGCTTTGGTTTTAAGTGTATCGTAGGACATCCATAACTGCCGGGTAATCAAATACGATCCCTTACGGTTTCGCCTCTGCTTGGGCTTGGTAGTTCGTCCGCTGCCTCCTTTCCGTAAATGAGCCTATGTCCCAGGACACATATTAGAGTGATCAGAAATATAAGCCATCTCTCTCCTACAGTCCTCCAATAATGGAGATCTAACAGAGGTAGAAGGGAGTGCTTTATAGCCGCTTGGATATTCGAAAAGATATTCAGATCATTATTTGGAGAAAAATTACAGGTAATTTTAATGTCAAGAGATTTCGCAAAAAATTTTAAATGGTTTCAATAAAAAAAATCACAACCATGCATTTACTGCAAAATATGCAAAAATATGCAGTAACGAGTGAATGCAGTTTTAAAGGAAATTTCATGATTCGTAAAGATAATTTAACCATTTCCATTTGAAGATGCCCAGTAAAAACATACATTTGCTTGAGATTCCGAGCCCTATTTATCACAACCGCACTCACTACATAGATTTAAAGTGATTATATTTAAGTGATTTAAGTGATTGCCCATTGCGATATAACGGACAAATCACTATTTAGTTTGGAACACAAACCGTAAACAAGCCCAACACGGCGCTGGACAAGTAGCTACACTTGAATATCATTGGCAAACGCATGCACTTTAATACTAAATATACTTACACACTGAGAACACATCATCACGAAAAAAACTTATCATCCATATTCATTAAATTTGTTTGCATATTATTTGAATGCTGTGATGTCGCCACTCATAGCAACATTCAGTAGAATTCAGTAAAATTTCAAATTCAACTCGTTCAATAATTTCTACATACATAAATGATTCATTTGCCGTTTTGAATCGTTTCATGCAGACGTCTAATACGTATGCGTTTTGCTTGTACAAACAAGTACTTGTCTATGTATTTGTTATGTATGCTTCGCATTCATTTTCACAGCTTTCAAAGTAGTACACTTGCACCACTGTGATTTTTTTCGAAAAACTTTTTCCCTTTTAATTATTTATTTATGTATGCCGAATAGCCAGTAGACAACAATAATAATAACAAACTAAAAGCAAAAAAAAAATGCACAAAATAAAAAGTAAACATTCTTTGCGCGTCAAAAGTGTTGTAAAAGAACACGCAGTGTTTATTTATAGTTGCCATGCGCCTGCAAGTATGCAACAAGCTTTCGAAAATAACTCACATTCACTGCATTAGTCGAATAAAACAAGAAAAGAAAACACTGCGAGTGCTAGTATGAAAAAAACGTTAAATAAAATGCACAGCAAAAGAAAGTGGGACCGGAAGTGCCAGCAGCGTTGTTTCAAACAGACGTCTCGCTTCACAGCCTTTCGCTCTTACTCACAACTTTTGGTTTTTTTTTTGTTACTTGTTTATTTGTATTTTTATTTTTTTTATTTTTATTTTTTTTGGTATGCGAGTAGTTCTAATTTTAACTTTAGTTTTTATTATCTTAGCTGTTTATAACGTTGTTTTATTACTTACTATTTCAATTTTTTCCATTTCTTTTGCTGACTTTTCTGGCATTCTCAACATTTCAGCTTTGTTGTATGCGAAGTTTTACTACTTTTCGCGCATAGTGTTGATTCGTTCAAGTGGAACACGGCACGAATATTTACTGCGAAGAATGCTTGAATTGAGAATACATATACAAATATGTGTATAGTATGTACATACATATATAAGACTGCACATACACATAACATTTACATATACAAACAAACACATTTCTTTGTGGAAAATCACGCATTGCAATTCGAGTAAATTAAAAAGTTTAGATTGACTGAAAAAGGAATGTAGAACATTCGATAAAATGTGTGCGCTAAAATTATAATAACGCCAAATTCCTTCTAAGTAAAAATTTCTAATCTCTTCTTCTTGGTTGGCCCTATGTCCGTGTGAGCGACTGGACCGAGTCCAATAAAGCACGCCATTTGTTTCTATTATATTCCAATTGACCTCAGTTCCAAGTGACGGCAAGTCCTTCTCCACCTGGTATTTCGATCTCAAGGAGAAATTCCTTTTTTCGTGTCGCCAGCAGTGGGACTGGCCAAGCCGGCGAAGCCGTTGTGTTATAACCCTTTTAAGACCAAAGGGAAACGTACTTCCAACAAGATTTCATATTGGTAGTATATTTTTAAGAAAAAATAACGTTAAATAACAATCAACGACACCATCAACAACTGTTCTTGATGAACGCTTTCAATGTACCCGCTTATATTCTCTCTCTCTCTCTCTCTCGCACTCTGTTCCTACCACCACTACTTCATTGCTTTCCAATTGCTGCGGTCTGCCATGTAACCATTTATACAATCCACTCAAATTCTGTTGACTTTGTTTGTAATTACTGAAACGACATTCAATAAACACTAAAATTTGTTAATTACCACCATCAGCACAACTACAAATGTTGATTTTGGCGCCATCGAATTGCCGTACACACACAGTTTGCTGCTTAAACATTATCAAATCAATTTGATACTGTTGGATGGGGTGCTGGAAATAGCCAAAATATTAGGCTAACAGCAACAACAAATTTGTGTAGTAAATACTAATCAACATTTTCAAACTATCCTCCTACGTTTACTGTCACAAAGCTCATTGTCCAAACACAGTTGTTACAATAAATAATACAAATTTTGTCCCCATCCGAGGGTCTAAAAATAAAAAGTAAGTTTGAAAAATTGTTTTTAAATTTTTACTTTACTAAAGAAAACCCTTATATTACCTTTACTGGCTTTCAATTTGGCATGTATGTATGTTTGTATATCTACCCGTAAAAGTATAAAATTTGTGTTCACATTTGTACATGTTTTTGTTGTTTTGTCCCATTATTCTGTCATTTGCACCATTTTGGATAGTTAAGAATATTTTCGTACTTGTATTGGACATCAAATAAATGAAAATAGTCTGCTCGTTGACCTTAATTAAAATCAGATTTCATTCGGTTTTAGTGCATTGCGTGCGAAAGCAATCGACACTTGGAGCCAAATGGCATACACAGGGAGGAAAATAGGATGATAGCTGGTTAAGAGTGCATATACATACATATGTATGTATGTATATTTTTTAAAGTATAAAAAGAGACAGAGAACGATGATAGACTATAGAGAAAGCGAGAGATGAAATTTCAACAATAACAGCAAAGCAGTGACTTCTATGTCAGCTCCAATGGGTCTGTCTATCTACTCATATGTACCCGTAACTAGCGTGGCCCGCACGACAACGGCTATTAGGAGTATCGCTGGATGGACACGTTTGCAGAGGAATCCCGCAGGATAGGGTTCCTTCGTCCCTTCTGTGGCTTATGGCATTTTATGAGTTGCTACGGGCCCTGGAATGAGCTCAAAGTTCATTCCGTATGCTAACGACCTTGCGGTGGTTGTAAGTTGAAAATTTCCTCAAACTCGGTGTGATAAAATGTAGGACTAATTAAGAATTATTGAAAGATGGACCAAGAGGAAAGGCCTGAGATGGACAAAACAGATCTGGTTCTCATTAAAAGAAAGTACAAAAATCTCTGACTAGGGGAATTCCCAAATTCCGAGGCGTAACTAATTCGCCTAAAGTCGATCTCTTAAGCATGAGAAAATCTTCCGCTTATTAAACCACATTTAGCATTCATTAGGCAAGCTGGCATTATCTTGAGTTGCAGGGTTATGAACCTCATCAGCTGAGCAAAAAAATATCTTCATCGTCGCAGTGTCTTCTGTTCTTCTATGCCTGTTGTTCTTAACTAACTAAAATTGCCACAACGTTAAGGCTACATAACTAATTTCTCACTGTGCTGTGAATTTGTATTACAATTAAATAAAGGACATTGACGTGTGATCCCGCTTAGCAGTGCGCGCAATGCATCCACAGTCCGTATGTAGCATTGAATGGGCTAATGCATACTTACATACATAAATACATAGGTACAATAGGGTGGTCCAAAATAAGTTAAGTCGGAATTTTAAAGCTGCACGGCTAGGATTGTTCTATATCTAAAAGAAATATCCATATTTTTTATTTTGAAATCATAAAATATTACTTATTTTATATGGGGAAAAATAACTTATCGTAGAATTGATATAGAATTATTGAAAATCAATATTTTTCGATCGGAAATCTCTGGTTCTCTTCTCGAGACTTCCAATAACAATACCCAATTGTTTATTTAACCATTTTATAATACTAAAATTTTTATTTAGCCACCCTTGTATTTTCTGGCATGTTACATCCAACAAAATATCGATAACAAAACCGATAAAAGTATCGATAACATAATCGATGACAAATTCGATAAAAATTTCGATAGCCAAATCGACAATAATACTGGTAGCAAAATCGATTAGAAAATCGATACAAATATCGATAAAATAATCGATAAAAATATTGATAACAAAATCGATAAAAATATATATGCCAAAATCGATAACTAAATCGATAACAAAAATCGATTCGAAAAACTATAACAAAATGGACAAAAATATCGGAAATAAAATCGATAAAATTGTCGATAAAAAAATCGATAACAAAACGGATAAATAACTGATAACTAAATCGACACCAAAAATCGATTCGCAAATCTATGACAAAATCGAAAAAAATATCGGTAACAAGTTCGATAAAAATATCGATAATAAAACCGTTAAACAATCGATAAATAATCGATAAATAGTCGATAACATAATCGAAAACAATGGCGACTACAAAACCAAAAACAATATAGATGAAAACTAACGATAAAAAATCGCTAAAAATATCGATCACAAAATCGTTAAAAACTTCGATAACAAAATCGATAAAAATATCGATAGCCAAAGCGATTACAGTGTCGGTAAAAATTTCTATACCAACATCGATAAAAATATCGATAACAAAACCGATAAAAATATAGATAGTTATATCGATAAGAAATGAGGATCCCGAAAATCTCTAAAATCCCAAAATAGTTCCCAGATTGAGACTCTGTGTCTCTATCTATATCTCTTTCTCTATTATTACCTTTATTTAAACCTTTCTTCCTCTATCTTCATCTCTACTTTTATCCTCCATTTTTTACTACAATCCTCATCTTTTTCTTTATATTTGTCTTTGTTTTTACATTTATGTTCATCATTTTCTTCATCTACATATTCCCCTTCACCTTTGCTCTTATATAAGTAAAGTGTTTTAATTTACATTATTGGTCTTCATTTTTGCCTTTATCTTTGGGCGTCTTTGTTTTTGTTTTAATTTTTAACCGACTTCCAAAAAAGGAGGAGGTTATCAGTTCGTCGGAATATTTTTATTTTTTTTTTGTATGTTACCGGATAACTTTGGACCACGTCAACCGATTTCGATAGTTCTTTTTGCATCGGAAAGGTAGTGACTCAGAGGTGGTCCATACTGATCCAGTTTAGATCCGATCATTGGATCATTGGATATATATATATTTTTTTTTTTATATTAAAATTGAAGTCGGTTTTTTTGCTAAAATTACTGCTTTGCATATAAAATACATGGACAATTTTGACCTCTAAATATTTTTTGATTTCTAAATGAAAAAATACGGGTATATTTTTTTTGGTAGTGGGTGAGAGCATAAAACTTCCAATTCTACTTCTCACATGCATTTTTGGACCGCTCTAATGTAGTACATACACGTGCCGTGCAATAGCCCAATATTGAGCTGGACCAAATCGGCGACTGCTGACGGCATTAAGTGGCAACACAAACAATTTAAATTATCTACAAACACATCGAATCGACCAATCGTACCTCGTTCGAACAAAGCAAATTACTGATGAAAACAGTGCAAAATGCGTACCTACATATGCACATGAACTTTTGTACAAACTTATAAATGGGCAGTTACATAAATGCATACATTTGTAGATATGTGCGTTTGTAGACATTTCTATGCCGGTTTAAAATTCCATGTTAACTAATACCGATTTCGTTTCTACCGAAAAATGCAACCTTCTCTTTGCCGTATACGTACGCACAACACACCAAGAAGAGGGCGATCAGAAGGCAACATTTTTTGTAGAAACAAAAACGCCATAACTAACGAGTGTATGCGTACAGAGAACAATCAAAGTAAATTCAGGAAATTTACATTTGGCATTTGCTATTCGACATTTAGTATTTAAACGCAATTGAAATGGCGTTGGCTGAGGTCAAATAATGCTGCACAAACAAATAATTGCTGTGATTTAGTTGCTGATTAAATTCACATATGTAAATACATATCTACATACATACCGCCATATGTAATCTGATGTATAAACTTTAGCGTATGCGCCTGCTTGTGCGAGTATTCATTTAAGTAGTTACATATTTACTTGCTGGCGAAGAAGTGCCCAAAATTAATGTATAGTTTGACCTATCATGAAATCTAGTTCAATGGACGAGGAGGAGTATGCAGTAGGCAGGATCACAAGCAGAAAGTTTTTAACTATTCTCTGAAAGATAACTTCGTGAGAGAGAATTTAAGATGTTGTAAGAATACACGCCCTAGCCAAGAATCAAACACAATCGAAACCGTATCTTCTTTATGGTCTCTTTATTTGATCTTATAGGATTCCCGAATCGGGTTATTATTTAAAACCGTTTCTTTACATTGTTATTTGGTTTAAAATTTCCCTAATGAAGTTTCCCTAATGGTACGTTTTTATTTTTGGAAACTGCTTTGAAAATGTCAATTACGTAATTTTCCCAAGATGTTTTCATTCATGGGAATATTTCAAACTTTAGCAAGGAAAAAGTTGGAAACTCTGCAAACTATTTTTTTTAAGAGTATTCTGAATTATAGAGAAATTTTAAAGAATTCGTAAAGATCTCATCCGATTTTTGCCGAGTTTTCTAAAATGAAATAAACTGTGTACACTTCTATTCTTTTACGAAACTTCGGAAGAAAATCGGTAAAGCAATGAAAATAATGCTGCTATATGAAAAATTGCTTGCAGAATTTTTTCAGAATTTTCTCTAATTTTCGTTCAGAAATTTCTTTACGAGTTCGTGTCAACCCCTTCATTTAATTTTCTTTGAAGATTCGTGAAAAATCGTTACAGAAATGGGAAACTCTTAAAGATTTCGGAAACTTTGGTTTGCAGGGAAGACAAGAAATCTTATATATATATTTTTTTTATTTGTATTCAGACCTGTTCTTTGTCAAAAATTCAAGCTACATACTAACGATGAAAGTTGATGGATAAATAAAAAGGTTGTGATCCAAATGTGCAATAATCTTTTGTATGAAATATGTAGGTGCAGGAAATAATGTTACTCATACGCCAAGTTCGCCTTATAAACTGTTGTTGTTTTTTCCAGTTTTTCATATGCCAACCCAACTACAATCAACTTAAGCTGGGGTCGCTGTGTCGAATCCCAGTGCCAGAGATGAAGATGTCTGATGAAAAGATTTGGTGAACTCCGAAATAGTAGCTATAGCTTCTACCATTGCGCAGATAGGGAAACATAGTTTACCGTCTATATATATATATATTAAGTTTTTTGTACAAATAAACTTTCACCACACGGCACAGCAAGTTAAGAGCTTTCTTGTAGCTATCGGTGAATGACCTATCTTCCCATTAGACGCATTTTTTTAGTATGCTTTCTCGCAAAGACTCTGTGGTTGAAGTAAATCTGTGAGTTTCATTCAGCACACCTTATTCTCTTATTAATCCTTTCTTTTATTTAGTTTTATAAATATCGACCCGATCTAGTGTGCATGTTGGTGTTGTGCTGACATATATACCTATGTAGGTACCATGCAGACTTCCATAGTGACATTTAATTTAAAATATATCATAGAATTGAATTTGTAGTTACACCTCAAGCTTTGTCCTAAACAAATAAGTGATTTTGTGGAATAGTGCTTATTACGATATGCATCAACATTACTAAGAAATTCCACTGATTTAATATTTATTTGCCAATCAAGAGGAAATCTACTGGAACCCTAAGAAGAGTTTGAAATTTAAGTTAACTTTTGACTTCCATATAAACATACATACATGTGTACATTATTTTGAGAAATGTCGATAACTTTTTGGCTTTTGGTTTTAAGGCATAAAAAGTCAATGAGTTTGCAAATTTTTGAAGTGAAACTTCTTTAGCGGCGGTCGGTTGATTGGGAGTAAATTGGCAAATTCAAAGGAAATTGCACACAGAAATGGTGCAACGGAAATGATGCAACGGAAATGATGCAACGGAAATGATGCAACGGAAATGGTTGGGGCTGAAACAAGTGCTTCTTGTATTTATATATATGGTATTAATTTAACAAAAATTTGCTAATAAAAGGTTAAAGAATAAAACTTAGAAAGAGACCAATACAAGAATAAAAGTAAAGGTGACTACGTACATAGATAAAGAAAAGGCTAAAGGCAAAGGTAAAAACAAAGACGCGTAAAGATAAAGGCAGAAATGAAGACCGAGGTAAATTTAAACGCTTTACTTATATATACATATAAGGGCAAAGGTGAAGAGGAATATGCAGATGAAGAAAATGATAAACGTAAAAGTAAAGACAAAGAGGAGGATGAGGATACCGATAAAAGTAAAGATGAAGATAGGGGAAGATATATTAAAATAAAGGTAATTAAAGAGGAAAGGATATAGAGAGAGACATAGAGACTTAATCTGGGAACTATTTTGGGATTTTAGAGATTTTCGGGACTTTTCGATAAAATAATCGATATTTTTATCGGTTTTGCTATCGATATTTTTATCGATTTTTTTATATAAATTTTTATCGATATTGTTATCAATTTTTTTATCGATATTTTCAGTTATAAATATAATAATCGATATTTTTATTGATGTGTTATCGATTTTGTAATCGATGTTTTTAACTATTTTGTAAGCGATATTTTTATCGATTTTGTTATGGACATTTTTATCGATTTTGTTATCGAGATTTTTATTGATTTTGTAATCGATATTTATCGATTTTGTTATCGAAGTTTATCGATTTTGTTAGCGATTTTGTTTTCGATATTTATCGATTTTGTTTTCGATATTTATCGATTTTTCTATCGATATTTATTTATTTTGTTATCGATATTTATCGTTTTTGTTATCGATATTTATCGATTTTTTCACTATAGTAGCATAAATGTATTATGATAGAAAATAGAAAAAATATGACCTTAAGCAAAAGCAGAAGTATGTATGTACATATGTATATTGGTTATAAGACAAAATAGATATATGTATATGTAACGTAAGTTTCACTTCTCCAGTGTGGCCCAGGCGCACCTACTTTTTTTTATTTATTTACTTTTTTTTTTTGAATGAAAAGTCACTGACTGATTTATATTGATGATTTTTTATAAATAAAAGACTTCAATAACTGTTATCTATTATTATTTATTTAGATAAACATCAAAACTAATAGCCATTTTGGATTTAAAGAATAAGAATCAGAAATAAGGATTAATTAAATAAAAGTCTAAAAATAACTGTTAAAGAGCGATTTTTATAATAGAAGTTGTAAATGTTACGGTGCCTGACATAATCACATAATTCGCCTCCAACAAATGTAACGTTAAATACTACTTAAAAATACAAATGTCTTAAAAGCAACAAAAGATAGGGAAGAAGTTTATGTACCTATATAAAATGTAGGCTTTGTAGAGAAATAAGTATACCGATTGTAACGTTAAAGACAAACATTTTGAGCTTATAGGTATTTATAGATATGTACATGTGTATGGTTAGTCGTAAATAATATGTATGTAAACACTTATATTTTCTCTTAAGTTCTATAGCTGCAAACAGTTTAAGTGAATGTCCTTTAATTAAATGAAACCTTATTTCGTGAGTATATAAATCAGTTAAAATACATCATTACGGTTTTCGAATACATATGTATGCCTACAAATGTACATATGTATATCGTACATGCTGAGGCAAACATAATAATGGCCACAAAGAACAACAATTGCTCTTAAAACACTGATGATAATTGTATTCGCTTGCGATGAAAATTTATTTATTTCTGTATAACTTTATTGTTAGCGGCTTCAACATGCTGATTAATTGAAAATTTACCAACATTGTATAATTGAATGATTAAATGGACGCAAGAATTCAGAATGAATTGCATTGCTGAGCTTCAGCCTGCTCGGTCAGAGGAACAATAAGGAATTATTGCAAGGACGCCTCGAGTTGATAGTGCAGTTGTTCTGATTGTTCGATGAAATAAAGGGAGGGGGAAAATTGCTGTTGTGTTGAGCTCGTAAATTATGAGTTTACACTGTTGATGACATCATTAACAGGCTTATGCCGCACCAAATGTGCGAAGACAAAAAACTAAAGAAGCTGCAGTGTGTGTGTGCATTCTGTGCTTTAAGCAAGGCTTGACAAGACAATAAACCAAATTACATTGATTGCTGCCTTTAAAATGTGAGATAATAAGCAATAAGCGCACTTAACAATGAATTCATGCAAGTTCATACATGTATGTACATACATACACGCATACTACTACTCTGAGCTACTCTGAAAGTAGCAGTGGTTGAAAGACTTGGGATCATATGCAGAGTAATGATTCGTCTCAGCACTACCACTGGTTTTTATACCCGAGCGCACTTGTGCACAAGGGTATTATAACTTTGTTAACATAACGGTTGTTTGTAACAGGCAAAACGAATCGAGATAGATATAGACAAATGTATACATAAATGATCAGAATGAAAAGAGAAATCAATTAAGCGGTGACTGTCTGTCCGTCCGTCCGTCCGTCCGTCCGTCTGTGCACACGATAACTCGAGTAAAAATTGAGATATCTTAACGAAACTTGGTACGTGAACTTCTTTTGGGCGTAGGACGGATGGTATTGAAAATGGGCGAAATCGGACAATAACCACGCCTACCTCCCATATAACGGTAATTTTAAGAAAAACGAAAACTGCGATATTTTAGTAACTACTGAAGATAATTCACTCAAAATTGATATTTACAATGAGTTTTAGACGAAAAATAAGAATATTACAAAATTTTGGCAAATGGGCGTAGCCACGCCCACTTATGGTTACATGTGTATATCTTGGTAACCGCTGCACCAATTTCTTCCAAACTTGGCACAGTTGTTGGTCCTGGTACAGCATACCAAATGGCTGAAAATTTCTAAAATCAGACAATAACCACGCCCACATCCCATATAACGGTAGCTTTCGGAAAGGAGGAAAACATATATTTAATACTTGCGCCGGGTATTTAATGTTCGGCTCCGCCCGAACTTAGACTTTCTTACTTGTTGAAAATTAAAAAATAAAAAGTACAAAATCTACCTAAATTCTTCTCAAATAACAGCATTCTGGCTTCATGTGAGACCATGAAATTGTGTCCCATAAGGACTAAGCTCGGTTTGCTACACAAAGTAGCTTGTTAATTAAAAGTTCGCAAGTAGAAATTTATTTCGATAAAACTCAACATATCTAAACTCAGCCAAACACATAAGAGAATTTCACTTTTGTTCTTTTCAACCTCCTTCAAAATATTTTAAACAGTGAAATCGTGTGTCTCATCTCAAAGTCTATAATATTAAAATAATAAAAAATGTATAAATTTCTTATTTTGGAATAAATCTGGTGGATTTTGCATGTTTTTTTTTCTCGAAGAACACTATTTTTGACCAATTTTTTTAGGGTGAAGAAGTAATTGTAGCTTAATGGCAACATTTTTTCGTGAAAGGTAATTGCATTAGCTTTCAATGCCATTTTGTTTTATATCAAAATGTAGCTTCTGTCGAAATCGCTACAATTAATTCGCATGCAGTGTTAAAAAAGCACACTGTGTGCCATCGAGTTAGCTCGAATCTCTTATTTTTCAGTCGAGAAATGTAATCTTGAAATTTTCAAATTACTACAAAAACATATGACTCAAAACATATAATTTATAAAAATATAATTCATTTATAAACAACACATAATATGTAAATATAATAAAATAAAATGTATATTAGACTGGGTCGAAAAAAAAAGTTGCTAATGTCCGCCCCTAAATTTAAAGATTATGTTGAGAGGGTTCTNAAAAAAAAAAAACAAAATTTTTCCAGAACCCTCTCAACATAATCTTTAAATTTAGGGGCGGACATTAGCAACTTTTTTTTTTTGTATGGGGACCGACCCAGTCTAATGTATATCATACTTGGGCGTACAAAATTTTTGATCCTTATCACCCAAAAGTTGAAATTCTTGGAACTTATCTGACTCTTGACTGCAGTTAAGCCTCTGGTGGAAATAGGCTACAAGTCTGTCTAACCAGGGAGACATTAAAAAATGTTAAATTAAAGTTCAATTGAAGGCCTGTCTGAAAGAAAAACGAGTTCATCTCGGTTAAAATCCTCTCCCTTGGTGGAAAACTAAACTAAAATACGACAAATTGACAGATCTGGCCCGCAAATATTGGAGCGCTCCACCCGCCAGCGTTCCAAGTGAGCAAATGTTCATTGTAGCCGAACTTAAATACGAGTCTCTAAGAAATCGCCTCATGGGAGAAAAGGCAGAAAAAAATACTTTTTTTTTGAAATATAATATGCCCCTTTTGAACTTTGACCACTAAATTAAAGCACTGTATAATATAAGCCCTCATTCAATGTTCTAATAATTTACAAAATTTTTAAGTAATAAAAACGAGACTTAAGTTAGCATTCGCATTCGTGAATGTAAAAAATATGACATTCGAAACATCGCTAGAAAAAACATTGCCTCATGCCTCCGCTACTACGATTAACTTTCTATGCTGCTGGTGTTTAGCTCTGTTAGAAGTTTATAAAATTCTCTCCAAAGCCTCGCAAATAATTTACGCTCCTTCGATCGCGATTAAGTTTTAAGAATTTTATTTTATGTTCGAGTAACGATAATAACAATAAACAGCTTAATGACATCAGTGTAGTGTGGTTATTTGGGAAAAGAAAACTGAATAAATAAACCGTGTAGGTAATGCGGCATCGAAAAGATACAGAGGGTGATGGTATTGTGGTGGCATTTATGTATGCCACATTGGCCGTAACCAGCTGACGGAAGTGTAGCTACGCTGCTGCTGCTGCTGCTGCTGAAGTCTTCAACCACAATCATGAAATACATTTAAAGCGATAACAACAATAACAACAAAGTTGGCAAGAGGTAATGAGAAAATACGAGTGCTGGGATGCAATCAGAATTATGTTTGTGTATTTGGATGTTAGCTGGAGCGCGTTAGTGACATTAGGATAACAATGAACTTATCAAGAGGTTGAGGTGTCAGTGGCACCTGTACGCTGCACTTGAGTTTAATGTTGTTTAGTGAATTTTTAGCGATAAGGACAGAAAGGGAGTCGGATTCACAAAATTACAGTGCGTATATATGTAAATAGGCGTACACATAACTTTCGAGTGGCTTTTACGGCAGTTAAGCAAACAATTTCGCTGAAAAGTGGATATTAATTTAAGAAAGCTTGTCGTTTTTATTACTTCAACAATAAGGAAGTTGAACGTTTTAGTAATGGGGAAAGATAATTTTGGTTTAATGTTAAGTATAATTTGGCGTTGACAGACTTAAGTGGTGACAGTGGCACATTAATAATATTCTAAAGAAGAAATACCATGTATACCTGCCTGTGCTTGGTGTGGTGATTGTTATCGTAGAGTTCATGGGTTTGATAGCATAAAACTGCAAGTAAATTTTATGTTAGGTTAGGTTAGGTTAGAAAGGTGGTGGAAAAACTATTACGCCCAAGTAGCAGCTAAGTGCCAGTTTTGATGCCATATACTTCAAATGAATATACTAAAACCAACCGGCGTGGTTGATGAAGTTGAGTATGTGGTGGAGACTTATATCAGCTAGTGATGTGAACTCATACTTATGCTCCTAGTATGGTGTTTCTGCTCCTCATTAGAGCTGGACATTTGCAAAGTAGGTGCTCTACTGTTTCCTGCTCGTGCTCATCTTTGCAGCTTCAAAAGAAGTCGTTGTAGGCGATTCCCAGCCTTCTCGCGTGGATACCAATCGGCCAGTGACCCGTAAGAGTCGCAAAAAGCCTACATGCCACAAGAATTTGGATATAGGGCAGCTTGCCGCAGTGCGCCACTTTTGATCCGATTTCTGGAGATTGTAGAGAAAGATGTCTCTATATAAGGTTCCAATTGCAGGTGAGATACGGTCCTCGATCGACACCAATGTGGATCGCTCTCCGGCTAACTTGTCTGTAGCCACGTTTCCGGTAATGTTGCGATGACCAGGGACCCAACCGAAATCTAAATCGAGTTGAGTACTTACCGAGTTTAACATCGTCCTACACGCCTTGATTAGTTTCGACCTTGTTGTATAAGACGCCAAGTCCTTAATACGCTGTGACGTAAACCACCACGTTATAAGAGACGGCAGCCTTCGGCTATAGCGAATACTTCTGCCTGGAAAACACTCGCAAAATCGGGCAGATGAATTGATCTTTTTACCCCCAAGGACCCAAAGTAAATACCTGCTCAACTCCGCGTTCCATTTTGGAGCCATCGGTGTACATATGATGTATCCAAGTAGAGATATAAAGTTCCTGGTTTATGTATTTTATTGAGAAAGAAGATAAAAAAACTGGTCATTTTTCAATATATCTGACCCAAAACTACACCATTTCAATTTAGCCAAGGAAGGACAGCTGCGGAGAAAATGCTCAGTACTATCCTCGCCCTCCAAGCAAGGTCATATGTTGTCCCCAAGAAATTTTGGCACTACCCAGGTAGGCCATTTCAGAAAACTATTGATTTCTTTGCAGTTGCCAGCATAGCACAAACGGCGCCCAGAATTATTATTCAAGAGATTTCTGATGCATCTAAGGATTCCCGCTATGATTGATGCTATAATTGGTTACGGTTCGATTGGTTCAAAGCAACTAATTCATCTGTCACATACTTTGAAAAACACAGTGTCTCGGCAGCCACGTGCGTTCAAGCTGCTCTATTGTAGATAGGGTCGAAAAGATTTTTTTTTCTCGATTTGGAATTGTAACAAATTGGTGCAATGTATTTTATTGAAATTATCGCTAGCTATTAGCGTGTCCCACTTTGAAATGGTGGTGACCTTTACGGCGACCCCGTTCACAGTAACGTTCCTCAAACCATACCTAGAACTGTTATTTTCCTAGAAAATAAGACAGAAAATTATTGGTAGGGTTGATGTTCAGAACCATTCCAACACATCAAGGTCTTGTAAAATTTAGTCCGCTTTGAACTATGTCACAGATATATAGTACTGACGAGCTCTAGCGATAATCAGTAAGAGCCTAAAGGACTTCGTCTTCAACAAAGCTCCACAAGAGAGGTGATATTACTCCGCCTCTTGTTGTTTTCAGCTCTACCTCGCTGTCCCCGATATCGGTCTCAGCTACTCTGGTGTGAGGAAGCCATCCAGAGTTATCCATCTACGGATAGTTTCCGACATATTCCGTTCCTCAATTGCCCGGCCGATACCAACATGAGATGTGTTATCAAAAGCCCCTCAATACCGATGAAGGCACAGAGCAATGTTTCACCATACTCGAAGAAGCCATGAATTTTTGTAGACAGAGCATACAGTGCAGTGTCCGTGGACCTTACCACTCTGTATTGCGTGTTGGTCCGGATGCAAAGGCGTCTGCTTCAGAGTGTAGTTTCTAATGTAAAAATTAATATTTTTCTCCATTGTCTTTAGCAAGAAGGAGGTTAGACTTCTTGGACTGAAGGACTTAGCAAGAAAGAAGTCTCTCTTTGCTATTTAAGGGACAAAAATATCCCGAGCCTTTCGCCACACCTCGAAGATGTGCGGCTAGACTAGTCCACATGATGTTAACGTAGTGATGAAATAGGAGCTCCTTTCCCTGCTTCAGCAACCAAAAGGGACTTGCACCGATCGAAGGAGTCCAAACCCCAGCGGACTGAACAGTGTGTGAATTTATCAGCAGCCAGTTTCCAGTCCGCTGGTAATAGTTTAATCCGTCGGCATGAGAAATTCTCCCAAATCGACGCTGCAGCTGGAATGTGGGCCGAGAGCAAGCACGGAGAGTGACCGCTCCTTTTCGTTAACTGAGTAAGTGCCATGGGCTAACCGATTTGCTAGTCTGATTTCTATGTGATCCCTCGCTTAGGCTTTAGGAAGCAGAGCAGACCCGGCAGTCGGGGAGATGCCCTCACAGAGCTTTCTGTAGGTGCCGCATTTAGGCCTTTATTACCTATTTACAGTATTTAGTTGGACTGCCTGTGTACAAGAGTAAGTACGCTTTGTGGAGGCTGGGTGGCCACCTGTTCGCATCCTGCGTCATGGCTATACCAAAGCTGGGCCTAGGGAGACGGGGAATTCGCAAACTTAGACGAGACTTTCCCTCTTCGCAAAGTTTCCTAATCGATTTACGAAGATTTGATTACCCCATATGTATGCCTTATAAATTTTCTAGAAGATAGTAAATATGTGTGCTTCTGCTATAATTCCACTATGTATGCCTATATATATGCATAAATTTATGTTTGCTAGCTCAATGCCGTCAACCTGCGAAATAATTCACTTGGTTAATGATGCCGCAAAATCGGGTCAATGGCGACCCTATTGCATACCTTCTCTCTCTCTCCCTTTCTCTCACACATCCACACAAATGCAAACACTTCGATTTGCCTCTTGATATGCAATTTAATAGTCCATGAAAACGGTGCAAATATATGTACTCCTCAACCTCCAAAACCCAACCGCCTTTCGCGGATGACAGAAAAAAAATAAAAGGGGGAAAAATTCACAGAAAAATAGTGTCTGCAGAGAGTAAACACAAATCATGTCAACACCGTTGCCTGCCACAACGTATTCACTGCTAAAGTGGTTGCTGGCGCAAGGAAATCTGCTGTTGAAGGAGCAGGTTGAGTGTGGCAAAAGCGGTTGTGGGTAAATCACATTGACTCCAGCCACTCGAAAGTGGAAGAGCCGCCAACGGCATTGTGTCTACATATAACATGGAAACTTGTCGCCGTCACAGCAAGAATTTGTTGGGAATTAAGTCGATGAAGGCGATGCAGCATAGCTAAGAAAAAAATAAAACATAAATTGTTAAAGCGACAGCGTAATCAATAGTCGAGTCGAGTGGTCGGTCTACTACACCAAAACACTCATCCCATGACCGTGGTGGCTTGGCCACACCAAAACATATCGGCAGCAGCTGTGACAATCCCCCCAATGGTAATAAATAAAAATCGCATTTAACTGTTTTTAAACCAATTTATCAGCCAAATCTTCGTCGCACTCCCAGCGGCACAGCCGTAAGTGCCGCCAGGGTAGGCCAGAGCAGGGCCATTGGTCGTGAGGCGTGAAGCCCATTGAATTTGGGCGTTGATGCGAAATAGCAATTGAAATGAATATGGGTCAATTTTAAATTAGGGAAAATCGATTTAAAAGAAAATACGAATGACTTAAACTGCTT